CTGTATTTCTCCTTCTTCTCCCTCTTCTCACTTTTCATCTCCTTTCTTCTTTTTTGTCACCTTTTTCCTCTTATCCCTCCTCTCCCCCTTGTCCCTGTTCTGCCTTTTCTCTTTTTGGTCCTTCTAACCCCTCTTCGTCCTTGTACCCCCTCCCTCCTACCTCCTCCCTCCTCCCCCCCTCCCCTTCTCAATCCCTCCCTCCCCCTCTCTTCTCTCTGGCCTGGGGGCGCCTGAGTGGTTACCCACCCCCTCCTTTCCTCTCTATCCTCCCTCTCCTCTCTATCCTCCCCCCTCTCTATCCTCTCCCCCTCCCTCTATTCCTCCTGTATCCTCCCCTCTCCTCTCCATCCTCTCTCCTCTCTATCCTCCTTTCTGTCCTCCCTCCTCCTTCATCCTCGCTCCTCCCCCTTTGCTTCGCCCTTCCCCTGCCTCGCTGTGCGGCAGGGGCGCAACTGCCTCACGGACTTCCACGCGCTCGAGTTGACCCGCGACAAGCAGCAGTCGCTCATTCGCAAGTGGCACACGCTGATCGAGGACCCGCGGGAGGGCGGAGCGCCTCCTCCAGACCAGTTCTCGGGATCAGTCACGCCTGTCGAGGCAGAGGCGTGCTGGAGCAGGTATCGTTGTTGGTCCTTGCTCTGCCCCCCTCACCCCGCCCCCCTCCCCCTTCCCCTCCCCCCCAGTCCGCCTCCACATCTGCCTCCCCCCTCCCGCCCTCTCTGTCTCTGTATCTCTCTCCCTCTCTCCCCTCTCTCTCTCTCTCTCTCTCTCTTTTTTTGTTTTCTCTCTCTCTCTCTCTCGTTCTTCTCCTTTGTACCCCCCCGCTTCATGAGCACTACTCGTGCCCTTCGTCACGGGGTGCTGCGCGAGGGCGCGAAGAGTGATCGCGCAGCGCCACGGCACCTCGCGCCGCAGAGGCGTGCTGGAACACGTCTTGTTGTTGGTCCCAGGTCCTCGTTCTCTTCGTTTCCAGGAGGAGGAGGAGGAGGAGGAGGAGGAGGAGGAGGAGGAGGAGGAGGAGGCGGGATGTGGAGATGAGGATTTGTTAGGAGGAGAGGGAGGGGTAGGAAACAGAGGAAAAGGAGGAAAAGGAGGAAAAGGAGGATGATGAGAAGTGTGCAGCACCGCCTCCGCACAAGGACGCCGATTCGAAGGATTTGTCCTCCTCCTCCTCCTCCTCCTCCTTCTTCCTTCTTCCTTTTTCTTCCTTCTCCGCGTCTCTCGTACCTTTTCTCGTTGTCTCGCGGCGCGCACGCATGTCTTCCGCACGCGCGCAGCGTATCCAGAGGCCACGGCCTCGCCCGCCGAGCCTTGCACCTAGGCCCAGAGGATGCCGTGCGTTGGTGGCGCGCCCGCTCGCTCCCGTTCAACGAAGCACGAAGTGTGGCGTGCCTCGAGGGGGGATGGAAGGGGGGAGGAGGGGAGGGGATAGGGGAAGGGAAAGGGGAGGGGGACGAGGACGACGAGGACGAGGACGACGACGACGACGTGCCGCAGAGGCCCACGTGGACGTGAAGACCACCGACGGCTACCTGGTCCGCCTGTTCTGCCTGGCTTTCACGAAGAAGCAGCCGGGCCAGGAGCCGCCGCAGCCGCGGGGGCGGTCCTCTCCTTCCCTCCGCGCGGCTCCGCGGCGCTTCGGAGCGCTGTCTACGGCCTCAAGGGCGCCCTCGGGGGCGCGAAGTCATTCGCGCTGCGCGCTTCGCGGTTCGGCGCCCGATTCCTCCTCGGCCTTTCTTTCTCCCCTGAGGGGCGGCGCGAGAACGCGAAGTTACTCGAGCTTCGCGGTTGGCGCCTCGCGCAGCGCGAAGCGCGCAGGTAGGCCCCTTTGGCCTACGGTCTGCAATTGTGCGTGATGCCGGCCGTGCCGCCGCCTCCGCCGCCGCCCTGCGAGGGGGGGTCTTCTTCTGGAGCCCCTGCGGAGGGTGCCGGCCCCATCGGAGAGCCTCGCGGGCTGGGGCGGAGGCAGGGCGGGAAGGGCGGATGCAGGAGGAAGCCGACAGAGGGAGGGAGTCGAGGAAGCGCAGAGACATGGATGAAGGCGCAAGCGCAGAGACATGGATGAAGGGCGGATGCAGCATCGGTGCGCTCCGTCGCTAAGTGAGGCCGCACCGGCCTCCTGTGTCGGGGGGGCCTTTCCCTGACCCTTGCGTCTGGTGCCCACACTCCAGATCCACGCATCCGTAATCTACGTTAGCGTGCGCCCGAGGGGAGGGGGAGGGGGAGGAGGAGGAGGAGGAGGAGGAGGAGAGGAGGAGGAGTGGAGGAGGAAGGAGGAAGGAGGGGGAGGGGAAGGGGGAGGGGAGGAGGGGGAGAGAGGAGGAGGAGGAGAAGAGGAGGAGGAGGAGGAGGAAGGAGGAGGAGGAGGCGAGGAGAGGAGGAGGAGGAGGAGGGAGGAGGAGGAGGAAGAGGAGGGAGGGGGAGGAGGAGGAGGCAGGATGAGGATGAGGAGGTAGGAGGAGGGAGGAGAAAGAGACTTCAGAGAGGGGGAGGCAGGCCGGGAGAGGGAGGAGGGTAAGGGAGGCTCTGGGGCGCCGAGCACGCGGCGAGCTGCCATGGGGAGGAGCCCTTTCGACGAGTTCAGGCTCCCCTCTGCACAGGGCATGTCAGCATCGCCTCTGTGATTCCCCAACCCTCGTCGAAGCCGCCATCGAGGGGAATAGCGACGAGGCCCATCGCGAGACTCGCGTAAAAATATAACTTGCGTTGCACGGCGCACATGACGTAGTGGTACCATGAAGGCAGCACAGCAATGACGTATCACGGTTTGAAATGCGACCAATAATCAAACAGCTGATGCACCCAAGCCGATCGCCAACGAGTACGACTGGTGCACTCAGCTGCGAAGCACCATCTGCCAACCGTAGACAAGGACGGGCGGCACTCCCAACAACAGCTACCGTACAATACCTTGCGGATCTGACCACGCGGATGCACCCAGCCGTCGAAGGCAAGTTCCGCCACCGTGCCAGCGCAGCGTTCTGTGTGGAGACGCCCAGGGTTTTTTGTTGTTGTGTGTTTCTGTATTTCCTCCCTCCCTCTCTTCTCCCGCAGGGCCAGCAGGTCGTTTCAGGCTTTCCTGTGTAGTTCGGTAGACGCAAGCACATCCCTCGATCCAGGCAAAGGCCCCCGGGGTCGCTATGAGCCGACGCGGTATTACAGCAGGAACTGTAGACTACCTTCTCACGCGCCCGGTAGGGCCAGCGGCAGTGCGAAAGAAAGAAAGAAAGACGCCCAGACGGCTGTAGCACGTGCCACCTCCTTGGTGGAGCTCCCATGCGGCCTGCCTGGACCATCTGTCGGGTCGTCTTGGAGCCCTCTCGGGCCCCTCCTGAGCTATCCGGGGCCGTCTTTGGCCCGTCTCGGCCGTCTCGAGGGCCTCTTGGTGTCGTCTTGGGGGCCTCTTGAAGTGATCTGATAAACTGAAAGGCGTCAATACCTGTGCCGTCGCCCCAGTCACCACAGTGCTGCAAGTCTCCCAAGGGGGATCCGATTTGCACCGCGGTTAGAGCCACTGAGGACACGTAGGACTAGCAGCATGCCAAGTCGCCACCGAAGACGAGGAAGGACACGCATGCCCAACGCAGCATAACCCGATGAGGAACAACTTGAATAGGAAGCCCAGCAAAGTGTCTTAAGTAAGCACACGCATCATGCAACCCCAGCGCAGCACGGAGCAGACATCTATCTCGCCTGAGCTCAAGCTGGCCTGAGCCGAAAGATGTCTGAGCCACCGCGGGGCGGAGCAGAAGGACAAGGAGAGGATGCGGATCCGGTGACAAAAGGGGGTAGGGGGAGGCGGAGGACCAGGAGGTGAAGGGTCCATGGAGGCTCGCCCGAGTGACCGACATGACGAGGAGGGCCAGCAGGAAAAGGAGGAGGGACACGATGATGACGAACGCATTGTTAGAAAAAGGACGTACAAGAGACTCGCTGGAAGACGCCGCCCAGGAGAAGAACAACTGCTACGCGCAGACTGCCCAGATCCGCAAGATCCGCAAGAAGATGACGGACATCATGACCGGCGAGGCTCGCTGCGTGCCTCCTCTTCCCTCCTCTTCCCCGAGGAGCAGGCAAGCACGTTGGCATAGTCTCTGATGAGATGATGATGATGAGGAGGATGAGGAGGATGAGGACGAGGACGAGGATGAGGATGAGGATGAGGATGACGATGATGATCGTGATGGCGACAATGACGATGCTGATGATGATGATTATGGTGATGATGATGATGACGCTGCTGATGATGACGATGATGATGATGATGACGACGATGATGATGCTGATGATGTGGGTGATGATGAGGCTGATGATGATGCTGATGCTGATGCTGATACTGATGATGGTGATGATGATCTTACTGATGATGATACTGATTGTGATGATGATGATGACGTTGATGATGTTGTAATTGATGATGATGATGAGGATGATGATGTCGATGAGGATGATGATGAGGATGACGAGGAGGATGATGCGGATGATGATGATGATGATGATGATGATGATGATGAGGATGAGGAAACTAACCTGGATGAGGGCGAGGATGATGATGATGATGATGATGATGATGATGATGATGATGATACTCATGATGATGATGATGATGATGATGATGATGATGATGATGATGATGATGATGATGGTAAGGATGATGATGACGATGAGAATGATGATGTAGATGATGACGATGATGATGATGATGATGATGATGATGATGATGATGATGATGATGATGATGATGTTGACGACGATGATGACGTTTTGGATGAGGATGATGAGGATGATGATGAGGATGAGGATGAGGAGGATGAGGATGAAGACGAGAAGGATGAGGATTAGGATGATGAGGAGGATGATGATGAGGATGAGGGTGAGGATGATGATGGCGATGTTGATGAGGATGTTGATGATGATGAAGATAATGGTGATGATGCTGATGATGATGATGATGATGATGATGATGATGATGACGATGACGATGACGATGACGATGATGATGATGATGATGATGATGATGATGATGGTGATTATGAGGAGGAGGAGGAGGAAGATGAGGATGAGGATGAGTACGAGGATGAGGATGGGGACGAGGATGAGGATGAGGACGTGGATGAGGATGAGGATGATGATGCTGATGATGATGAGCATGAGGATCAGGATGAGGCTGATGCCGCCACTGACGATGATGATGATCAGGATGATGCGGATGATGATGATGATGATGATGACGATGATGATGATGATGATGATGATGATGATGATGATGATGTTGAAGCTGATGATGATGAGGACTGTGGTGATGATGATGATGATGCTGATGATGATGATGATGATGATGATGATGATGATGATGATGATGATGATGATGATGATGATGCTAATCATGATGGTGAGGATGGGGATGCTGATTGTGATGATGATGCTGGCGATGACGATGAGGATGAGGATGAGGATGAGGAGGATGATTACGATGAGGATGATGAGGAGGATGAGAAGGATGAGGGGACGAGGAGGGTGAGGATGGGGATGAGGATGAGGATCAGGATCAGGATCAGGATGCGGATGATGAGGATGCTGATGAGGAAGATGAGGATGATGATGTGGATGATGATGAGGATGAGGATGATGATGGTGAGGATGATGACGAAGACGATGCCGATGACGATGATGATGACGATGGCGATGAAGGTGATGATGCTGATGATGATGATGATGATGATCAGGATGAGGACGAGGATGATGAGGATGAGGATGATGATGAGGACGGGTAGAATGCGGATGAGGATGATGATGGGGGGGAGGAGGATGATGATGATGATGACGATGACGATGACGATGACGATGCCGATGATGATGAGGATGATGATAATGGTGATACTGATGCTGATGGGGATGCTGATGAGGAGGGTGTTCATGATGATGGTGATACCGATGACGATTATGAGGATAGTGATGGTGGTGCTGCTGATGATGATGATGATGCGTTTGAGGAGGATGATGATGAAGATGCGGATGAAGATGCGGATGAGGATGATGGTGACGATGATGATAATGATACTGATAATGATGATGATGATGATGATGATGATGATGATGACGATGAGGATGAGGACGATGTTCATGTTGTTGTTGATGCTGATGATGAGGATGAGGATGAGGATGAGGATGATGATGATGATGCTGATGTTGATCATGATGACGCTGATGATGATGATGCTGAGGAAGAGGAGACATGTGACGCTGAGGATGAGGATGAGGAGGATAATGCTGATGTTCATACAATGGCGATGATGATGTTGATGATGACGATTAGGATACTGCTGATGATGCTGCTGATGGTGACGCTGATAATGATGATGCTGATGCTGCTCATGATGTTGATTTTGCTGATGGGGGTGGTAATGATGTTGACCAGGAGGATGATGCTGATGATGATGAAGATGATGATGATGAAGATGAGGATGATGGCGAGGATGCCGATGCGGATGATGAGGATGGGGTTGGTGATAGTGATGATGATGATGATGATGATGCTGATGCTGATGCTGATGCTGATGCTGATGCTGATGATGATGATGATGATGATGGTTGTGATGATGATGCGGAATCTCATTACGCCGACGAGGATGATGCTGATTCTGAGGATGATGATGAGGATGATGATGAGGATGATAACGAACACGACGACGATGATGATGAGGATGATGATGATGAGGATGAGAATAAGCAGGAGGATGATGAGGATGAGGAGGGGGACGATGAGGATGATGATGAGGATGAGCATGAGGATGCTGATAAGTTTGAGGATGATGATGGGGATGAGGATGAGGATGAGGATGAGGATGAGGATGAGGAGGATGAGGAAGAGGATGATAAATGAGGATGAGGATTATGATGCTGCTGATGATGATGATGATGACGACGATGACGACGATGACGATGACGATGACGATGATGATGCCGCTGATGATGATGCTGATGATGCTGATGATGCTGATGATGAAGATGATAAGGACGAGGATGAGGATGAGGATGAGGATGATGCTGATGAGGATGAGGATTAGGACGAGGATGAGTATGAGGATGAGGATGAAGAGGATGAGGATGAGGCTTAGGAGGATGATGAGGATGAGGATGAGGATGAGCATGACCATGCTCATAAGCATAATGATGATGATGATGATGAGGATGGTGATGTTGATGGTGATGGGATGAGGCTCTGGAAGAAGAGGAGGATCAGGATGATCAGGATGAGTTCGAGGATGAAGATGAGGATGAGGATGATGGTGGTGATGATGATGATGGTGGTGGTGATGAAGATGAAGATGAAGATGAAGATGAAGATGAAGATGATGATGCTGATGATGATGATGATGATGATGATGCTGATGCTGATGCTGATGCTGATGCTGATGCTGATGAGGATGAGGATGAGGATGAGGATGATGATGATGATGATGATGATGATGCTGATGCTGCTGCTGCTGATGATGATGATGATGATGATGATGATGATGATGATGATGATGATGATGATGTAGTCAACGACGCTGATGTAGGTGATCTTTGGTACGATTCTGGCGAGTTTGATGGTGACGGTGTCGATTACGACGAAGATTATGAATGTTGACGACAAGGTGAATGAATGTCATAGTGGTGACGACGATGATCATGGTCATGATTGGTGATGGTGGTGGTGATACTGGCGATGTTGAGCAAGAGTACTGAGCAGGATGAGGAGGAGGAGTTTGCTGGCCATCAGTCTGTACATGGGGTCTTCACTGACGCTACGGTTCCGTTGCCAACGCCCGTCCAGCGTAAAAGCGAAAGGAGGAGTGATACGAGAGTGCTCGGAGGTCAACAAGGTTCAGCTGCGGGACCTCGTCAAGAAGCTCATCCCCGAGTCCATCGGGAAGCAGATCGAGAAGGACGCGGGCCGCGCCTCGCTTCTCCTTCCTGCCTCGGCCCCTCCCTCCCCTCCCTCCTCCCTTCCTCCGTCCCCCTCCCCTCTCCTCCCCTCCCCTCCCCTCTTATCATCTTCTTTCCTTCCCTCCTGCCTCTTGCCTTCCCCTCCTTTCCTCTCCCCTCCTTCCCCCTCCTCTCTCCCCTCCTCTCTCTCCCCTCCCCTCCTACCTCCTCCTTGCCTTCCCTCCTGTGTCTGGCCTTCCCCTCCTTCCCTCTCCCCTCCTTCCCTCTCCCCCTCCTTCCCTCCCCCCTCCTCTCTCCCCTCCTTCCCCCCCTGTCTTCCCTCCCGCCCACTCCTCGGCCTCCTCTTCCCCTCCCCCCTCTTCAGCCACCCCCTACTCGTCGCCGGCGTCGCTGGCGTCTTTGTCGTCGTCGTCGTCGTCGTCGTCGTCATCGTCGTCGTCGTAGGTTTCCTTCCTCTCGCCAGGGTGCTTTTTTCCTGACGCGTATGAGTTTACTTATATAGATATTGCTGGGGAGTGCTGGGGTTTGCTGAGTAGAGTCGCTAGCCCTTCCACCTCCCTTTTGTGATATCCCGACTGTGCCATTGAAGTCATGCAGTGGCCGGAGGCCTCGAACAAAAAGTGTTGAAAGGGATGTGTCGTAGCATTCTGCAGGTGGGCCAACTCGTCAGCATCGGAAGGATGTTGATGCTGGATTCGGCCCCACAGTGCGAGCCGCGGCCGCCCGAGGCATTTGTCCTGAGCACGGGGATTGCAAGGGTCAATTCGTTCCTGATTTCAAGTGTGAGCGTTGTCAACGGGATGACGTCCTCCTCCCCCTCCTCCTCCTCCTCCTCCTCCTCCTCCTCCTCCTCCTCCTCCTCCTCCTCCTCCTCCTCCTCCTCCTCCTCCCCCCCTCCTCCTCCTCCTCCTTCTCCTGCTCCTCCTCCTCCTCCTTTTCCTCCCCCCCTCCTCCTCCTCCTCCTCCTCCTCCTCCTCCTCCTCCTTCTCGTTCCTCCTCGTTCCTCCTCCTCCTCCTCTTCCTCCTCCTTCTCCTTCGTCTCCTCCTCCTCCTCCATATCCACCCGCAGCATCGTTTGTTATTATAGCCCCGCCATCCTGCCCACCCAGCACTCTGGGGGGCATTTGTTTACTCGGGCATGGGAGGCCGCAACGTGTGACGCCTCTCGCCGCCACACTTCTTGAGGAGCCGTCGTGGGGCGTATCTTTGGCCGTCTTGATGCTGTCTTGGGCTCCTGTGGGTCCCACTTGGGCCCTGTTGTGGCCCTTTGGCCGTGTATGGGGTCTCTTTAGGGGCACGAAGACTGATATAACAACTCGGAGGTCCGCGTGGATTTCGCGGATCCGCGCTGGGCCCCCTTGGCGGCGCCTCAGGCGCCGCCCTTGGCGCGCTCCGCGCGCCAGGGATGGGGGTCCAGCGCCGATCCGAGAAATCCGCGCGGACCTCCGAGTTTTTATGTTTGTGTCATTCTTCGTTCCCCCACTCTTGGTGCCGTCGTTGGGCTGGCCGGTGCCGCCTTGGGTCGTCGAGGGGCCCTCCGAGGCCGCCTTTGGTCTCTCTGGGGGCCCTCTACGGGGCCAGCGAGGGGCTCTCTCGGGGTCTTCCTGGGCCGTCTTGGGGCCCTCTTGGGCCGTCTTGAGATCGTCTGGGAGGATTATTTGGCCACTTGCAGATTTGGTGCTCGCGCTGTCAACGCTCTGCTTTCCTGGGGCTTTGCAGCGTCGTCCGCACCTTGCTTCTGCATGTCCTAGCTCCGTAGCTGCCTGCATGCCCTCCTGTGCTCAGCTGCGTTTTTGCTCTTATGGACATTGCGCAGGCCTGACGAAAGCTTGAGAGTTCCCTTCCAATGTGAGGTTGTCTCAGAGGATGATTGCGAAGGCCTTGCGGCTGGTGCCGCCGACCCTGACGACAACCAAAGTGAAAACGAGCTGGGGGGGGGGTAGGAGGCGGAGGATGAGGATGAGGATGAGGATGAGGATGAGGATGAGGATGGATGATGATGATGAGGATGATGAGGATGATGAGGATGATGAGGATGATGAGGATGATGAGGATGATGAGGATGAGGATGAGGATGAGGATGATGAGGATGATGATGATGATGATGATGATGATGAGGAGGAGCAGGAGGAGGAGGAGGAGGAGGAGGAGGAGGAGGGAGGGGGGGAGGGAAAGGAGGAGGGAGGAGGAGGAGCAGGAGGAGGAGGAGGAGGAGGAGGGAGGAGAGGAGGAGGAGGAGGGGGGAGGAGGAGGGGAGGAGGAGGAGGAGGAGGAGGAGGGGGAGGAGGAGGAGGAGGAGGAGGAGGAGGAGGAGGAGGAGGGAGGAGGAGGAGAGGAGGAGTGGGGGAAGAGGGAGGGTGGAGGAGGCGGATGAGGGAGGAGGAGGCGGGGGGAGGGATGAGGAGGAGGAGGAGCAGGAGGAAGCAGCGGAGGTGCAGGAGGAGGTGGAGAAGGGGGGGGAGGAGGAGGAGGATGAGCAGGAGGAGGCGGCGGCGGCGGCGCCCCTCAGGGGTTCAATGACGGGTCGAACCAAGGAGAGGTGTGGGGCAATCCCCTCAAGTCGAGCTGCTCAGCACCACACTGGACGTGGGGCACGAACGGCAGGCCCTCTCGGGCGCTGCCCGTGCACGGCGCTTGGCGACGGGCGCACGAGCTCTCGGTCCACCAGCAAACAGCAACGACGAGCGGAAGAACCAAGAGAGAGCTGGCGCAGTACCAGGCCAGGAGAGGCGACAGGGCCAGGCACCACCGCCAGCGGCAGCGTGCACGGCCCCTTCACCAGCACCCAGCAAGGGACAGCCCCAGAGGTAGGGAGGAGAGGCCAACAGGCCCGAAACGAGCGAGAAGGAAGAGAGGAGAGAGGAGGGACGAAGGACGACGGCAGGAAGGACCACTGCATGCAGAGAGGGCTACACTCCAGACCAGAGCGAGGCCCACAGAGGCATCCTTACGGCGGCGAGGCGACAGCCACAACAAGCAAAAAAACATAACTGCGCGGGAACTGCTGAAAGCCAGCTCATCGACGAGTGTCGGCGGAGGCACAGGGCGGCAGCCACAAAATTCACAGCAGTGCTGACGGTACCGACTGCACGCACAGACAGCAACCCGACTCACGATAGCTCCAAGATTTTCGGACCCTCGAGCTCCAGGTGCCCAGGTGGGCGCGGCCCAGAGAAGGACTTCCTCTTGATGAATTCCTCCACCACCGTGACCAACGACTTCTCCCACTTCTCATCCCTCATCGTAATGATCAGGCGCCTCTTCTTTGAGTCGAACATCGAGTCGAACATCTTTTCCATGCGAAACAGACCAATCATGTGCTGAGCCTCACAGCTCCCTGGCTTGTACACTGAGAGGCTCGGGAGCTGAGTCGACCATCGTCAAGCAGGTGGCCGTCAGGAGGAACGAGTCTGGCGGCCCCAAGTCGTGCCCCTTCTTGCCGCGGACCCTTGGGATGTACTCCTCGTTGTGGGCCTTGAGCATGGCGACGCACAAGCTGCCTTCTGTGGGGATCCCAATCTGCACCGTGCACGCCGCTTCGAGCAGCCTGTTCTTCTGATTCGCGATCACTCCCAGCTTCAGCGCCAAGTTATGTAACCTTGGCTTTGTCTTCCGTGCACTCCACTTTGGCATACTGTACAACTCGACCAGCTGCCGCAGCAGAGGCGTCCCCTGGAACGCCAGCCGCGCCAAACTGATCAGACCAGGCCGACATCGCCCAGCCTCGAACGCGCGAAAGTACTGCAGAACTCCTAGGAGTGTGGCCCCAATGAACAGGAGGCTGCTGAAATGGTCGCAACAACGCCCTGATGATGACTGGGCCACAATGCCACATACGCAGAAAAAATAAGGATGCCTCTAATCAAGTCGAATACTTCAAGGTCGGTATGTTACAATATGCCCCCGTGCAATAGCATAGCTCTGAAACTCGATGTTGCATATCTCGAATTTGTAAGGGGGGCTCACCACATGTGTATGTATCGTCTCCGAGCCTGTAAATCTAGGGCACTGGCCTCGAGCTAGACTGGCAGCAAGGTGATCAGATGTGTACCGACGGGTCGTGCAGAAATTGTCACACTTAATAGACTTGTGGGAAACAGTGAGGATCTTGGCGAGGTTCATTTGTCCGTGGCCCGCTGCTTTAGAGTTGGCCTGATGAAGAAGGAACTGACGTTTCGTAGTGAACGCCATGCCGCAGCCCTCAATGTCGCACTCGTATGGTGCTGGGGCTGTCTTTGGCACAAGCGGCACAGGCGGATCTAGAAGCACATCTCTTTGTCCCTCTTCTCCACCTGCCTCAACATCCCCTCCGTCGCTTTCCACGTCTCCTCCGTTGTCCTGAGCATTTTCCCCCATCTCCATCACCTCCTGGTAGATCTCCTGAAACGTCCTCGATCCTCCTGAAATCCTCTTCACCTGCGATACTTGGACCTCCAAAAAGGCTTTCCGGATACTTTCGTCACAAAACAAGGCGACAGGCTTGCGAAGGAGTACCGGTCGCACCTCTGGCATACCGAGTTCCGCGATGCAAACAGAAATATCCAGCAAGAATTGACTCCACCATTTGGCACCAGCCGTCGAAAAAACCGAACCGTCTCGTTCACATAGGCGTTGCCTGTCCCACGCAGCATCACCGAAGAGCGATACCAGCATCAAGGTATGGCGCTCGGGGGACCTCACGAGCTCCTGCCACCAGCTGACTCGCCATGCACGTAATATACTGGAGGGTGTCCGAAGTTCCATTTGCTCCCGAATCTGTGCATTCGAGAGAGCGCAGTATTTTTTGGGTTGGTCTTCAGTGGAACTTCAGACACCCTTTACCTTGTAACGCTCGTCTTGCTAAAGACGCCTGAATTCCCTCCAGTCTCTGTAATTCAGTCTCCCCAATCGGATATGCGATTCTCTCCGCGAATAAGGCCCCCTCCACTATACTCGTGAACATAACCGATCGCCACCGATCGCTTGTAATTTCAGACCAAAAACTACCCAAGACAGCAAACGCCTGCTTCGCACGCTTGATGCGATTGTCGATCTCAGGCTTCACGCTTCCTTGAAACTGCAGCCTGCCTCCCAATTATGGCGCCTCTCTCCGTACCTGCCCTCGTAACGCTCCCTCGTCTCGATAGAGCCTTCTCATGCCCTGCTGAATCCCCCTCCCCTCCAACTGCACCAATGATACCTGCTTGTCCCCGTTCATAACTGCGCCTATCTCGTGCATCTGGGAGCCCAAGTGCAAGAACTGTGAATTTCATCCGACCCTGCAGTCGGCGGCGTCCTGTAGGGGGACACACCCGACCTCAGAGTAAAGCCAACTTGTATCTGCCGCCCCACGTTGGAAGAAGAGGAGCCGCCCACCGTCCCTGCAACGGTTGCCAGCTCTTCGAGCGGATGTGCGCGGCGCTGAGGCGATGAGTCGCTTGTGAAAACGGCCCCCCTCCCAGTGGTCCTGCGCGGTGGCTGCCCGAGTTGGCCTGCAGTCGACAGGTGCTACGGAGGAGGAGGAGGAGGAGGAGGAGGAGGGGGAGGAGGGGGAGGAGGGGGAGGAGGAGGGGGAGGAGATCAGATCAGATCATAATGCCCATGGAGGTCCAGCAGCTCGCTAAGTGTGGCCTGCTGCTATCGCCTGCGGGCGTTGCTTCTACGACCGTTGCCGTGTCCCACGAGCTGCTAGAGGGCCCGTGGCCTCTCGGACAGATGCCCGCGCTGCCCCTATCAAGGAGGCGATCTGCGTTCGGGCGCGCAGCCCTGGCAGGTACCTCCACGGCGCCTAGCGCGCTCTTCCAACTCTCCCCCCCCGCGACGACGACCACCCGAACTCGGTGCCCGTCCCCCTCCCTTATAGTCAGGAGGGAAACACACACAGACATGATCAATCGTCGATTCCCGGGAAAATATGCGAAACTATGGGCAGTGGGGGGGAAGACAGAAACCCAGAATATATGGAACAATATGGGGGATTCCTGGGATCTGTGCGTACTCATTTGTGTGTCCCTGGGCCCCTTCACTTAGCTCGGCCTCCTCTCCCTGCAGGGCTGGTGGCACGCCGTCGGCTGGTTCCGAAGGCTCCCTGCGGCGGAGGGCCTGGCACGTCCTGAGATATTCGCTTGCAGACTCGCGACCCACATGGCGTGACCCAACTTGCTGTCCCCCTGTTCTCCTGTCGGTTCTCTGTACGCTTCAAATCGGCACCGAGAGACCTCTCAGCGACAATGCTGCGCCTGGGGATTATGGCAACAGGGACGGTGGGGAGAGCCGAGGAAGCACAGGACGGCAGGGCAGGGTGGGCAAGAGACGAGACAGCGTCAGGAGGGATGACACCACGCGCCACGAGGCCCGCAAGGCGCCCGCTGCTCTGGAGCCCAATCATTTGTTGCCCTTGCCCCCGCCCTTGCTCGCGTGGGTTTCGCCGATCCCCGCGGCGCGGGTCCTGTCGTCCTCTTCGGGCCGTCCTTCCCCACCGTGTACTCGAGCACAATCGCCCACATGCCTGCCACGATCCTCCCCCTCACGGAAACGGCCAGGCTCAGCACGCCCTGCCTCGAGCTTTTGCTCGCCCGCTTGTATTTGAGGTGCAGCACGTCCATCGCCGCGGTCTGCGAGGGCCTCTTCATCACCACTTCGTCCCAGGAGCTCTTCTCCGCCCTGTACTGGGCCTCGTCCTTGTGCGGGCCGTCGGGGCCGATCTTGTCCAGCACGCGCCTGATCACCATGTTGTAGACCTGAACGTATGGGGCTCCTCGAGCCTTGTAGTCGATCGTCTCGCCAGCCTTGTCGTGCTCCTTGAGCTTCTGCGTGCGATTCCTTGTCGTAGGCAACTCCTGTGGCTTTGCACACCTCCCCAACTGTGCCGTCGCCGTCCTCCTTCGCGAAGTACGTCTCGTACACAGTGCCTTCTAGAGACGCGATCTGGCGGGCGCCCGGCAGCACCATCTTCGCGATCGTCATGAGCAGCGCCATCTCCCACCTGTCGAACTTGTTGCCGCCCTTCGCGGCCTGAACACTGGAGCCTCGAGCGTGTTTGGCCTCCGATCTTGGGCCCTCCGAGCCTCTCTCCAACCACGTCGGCATCCCCGCGTCGCTGCTGTCGGAGGCGCTCGCAGGTGCCCCTCCTTCCAGCATGGTTTCCGAAGGACTGTGATACCAACTCAGAAGGCGGTTGAGGTAGCACTCGGAATGGAAGGTGGGCAACTTGATGGCTACGGAGGGCTCGCGGGTTCCGACCCATGCACGAGCACGTGTTGCACTTAAGTCGGTGGGCTGCTGAAGTTCATCCATAGACCGAGGCTCCCACTTCCCATACTACCCCCTCAGTATGGGTGTCTGTAGGTGTCTAGCTGCAGTAATCTGTGACCGAAATACACGAACACATACTGGGTATTGGTTCGTCTTGGTGAGGACGTGGGGGAGGTTGCGAATACAGTGGCGATGACGGAGGTGCTCCATTAGGCCCTTCTGAGTACGAAATCGTTCACCACACTTCTCCTCTGGCTCCACCTCCGTCTGTCCTTCTATTGTTGCTGTGCACGTATAGGGGTACTCCACCTCATCCTCCATTCAGTTGATGTTGCCCTCCCACTCCTCCGCCTCCTCCAGTCCATACGAGGCTGGTGGGATCGCAAATGTACGTTCAGCTGCACGCACTCGACGAACGTAAATTCGAGCGATGTCCCGACGACAATCATCACCTGAGATCAGTAGCCAAGGGCACTCTCCGATACTAGTGAGCAACTCCTCCTCATTTGGGCGTACAGCGGCAGTATCTAGCATGTCTGTGCCAATTCTCTTGGTCCATGGAGAAGCGTAAGGTGTCAGACAGGTGGCGTTACACGGCATCGCGTCTGCAGCCTCGAACGGGAAAGCTCCAAATAGTGCCGACAACACTTGCACGTGATCGTCCTGATATGACGCCCAGTCGTGGTACCACGACAGACGGCGTGCCAATATCTCACGCTGAGTAGTAGCACCCCCCGGTAAGCTAGGATAGACTGGGTGTCCATAGTGCGCTTGGTGCCGTCCTCCCTCGTCGCGCATGCCCCCCCCTCATAGCCATCCTCCCTAATCGTGCTAAGTGCCTGTCCATTTCTTCCATCTGCTTCGTGCTTCATAGGAATGGCTCCATACCCGTCGATGCCATGCCCGCGGGAGGGGAAGGCCCCAACATGTTCCCATGCTATAATACGAGGAAGTCGCCGCCATGATACGTCTCTCAACCTCAGGTGACGATTGCTGGGTAGGTGTGAGAACTGGGCCTGAGTACCGTGCCACATCGGTAACTAACTATGCCGTCCATCTGCTTACCTGCTACTCCGTGCGCTGTGGCCCTCTCCCCTTCAATGAAGATTGCCTGCTTGCTCTTGTTCTGGGCATACCCTGCCGACGAAAGAGAGCTGTCCAGTATCTCGTCCGAAGTGCGCAACATTTGGTAAACCTCGCTCATCCTAGTGCCCGTGACCAACGGGAGCGTTCTTAACAATTCGTCGGCACACTCTTGAAAAGACGTGTCAACTGGCTCACTACACCATTCCCCGGTCAAGACGGAGGTGGAAGGTATACGCTCTAACACTGCTTGTGCTCAACACTTCACTGGATCCACGAACGCCCCCGAGAAACCGTGCAGGTTGAAGCGGTCTCCCATTACTCCTCCTACTCCTGTCTTAATTATCAATGGGCCTGACATTGTATCTATCTCCACCACCGAGAGCCTACATCGTTGGCGGCACAGTACACGATCGCATGGACGGACTGTCTCTCGAGCGACCTCATGTAACTTGCTCCACTTGGTGCTGCCGAACGCGTTCGAAAGATCTCTCATCGCGACTGCGTGCGACCACCGACGTTGACGTAGCCTATAACACACGATCGTCGGCGACATGATGGCATCCTCACAGCTGCGATGTCTAGCGAAGCCGTGGCCCTGAATCGGAGGCCTGCGGGATATCCTGCGAGCGAGCCAGGCCTTGTCGATGGAGGGGAGGGTGTGGATCAGCCCACGTCCCTCGGGTCCAGCTTTGTCGTTTTTTGAAGCCCTGTTCCCCTCGATCTGGGCCAGTATGGTGGCTCCATGTCCACACGGCGAACCTGAGAGAGCCCGAGATGCAGGAGACGGTGGGCCTTGAAGGTTGGGGGTGCCCTAGACCGTGCCCTCGAGTAGAGATACCATGCAGGGGGAACAGGACCATATCCCAGATCTCCAGAGGGGTGGTTCCAGGTGGGACCGCACGACGTTTCCCCGCCTTCCTGACACAGTTCCTAATCGTGTCGAAATCCTCCCCGCGAGCTGCGCGATGGCGTCCTCGTCCGAGGCCGACGTAGGGGGGACTGGTAAAATTTCCCTCTCTTGCCTCCAAGACGGTCAGTCTAGCACACGAGCTTCCATCCTTCCTTCAGCCATAGGTTTGGACAAGTGCTCGATCCAAACTTCCTTGTCCAGTGGGTGGGGGGGGGGGGTCCGAGATGTCGGCCGTCTCGTTGTTTCGCCCCGAATCGTGTCCTAGCCTCTGTCCTCGAGAGCGTCGTCGCGTCCGTCATCCTCCTATCCCTCCACGCTTCCTCGATCATCTCAACGTACACCCCCCTGTCTTCCTTCCTGGCTCTCCGTCGTCCGGCAAGCAACAGGGCAGATAGCCTCTTTAGCTCCTCCTCCACCTCCTTCAGCTTCTCCTCCTTGTCCTCCCCATCCGTGATATTCAGTTTGGGCTCCTTCAATTGAAGACGTAGCCGCACCAATTCCCGACGACGTTCAGTCTTATTCGGACCCAAGGCCTGAGGTTACGTGCAAAATGTCGGTGTCCAATAGTAGTCAGAACGTCCTCCAATTGTTCGAAGAAGGTGTCAGCCGATCCTGCCTGGGAGTATCCCACAAACTCGGCCTCGCGAGCCTCCAACTCCGTCACCACAACCTAGGGGAACGAGTATCACTACGGACAGCCTGCATCAGCGCCGATGGGTCCATACTTTTTTTGGGGGGCCAGGGGAAGCATGCGCGGATCTTGTTCGCATCCCAGGACCAGGCATAAAGGAAGGTGGTCATGTGGGAGAAGGCCTCGCACTGCTTGTAACTGCGCCCCAAGGAGACGCAATGCCTTACATTGCCGAACACGATCACGATATCCAGAAATCATAAACCAGAAATCGATGTTCCACGAGGTCGGGGGATTGTTGGAGGAGTAAGAGGTGTTCTCGAAGGGTAAAAAGGTCGACGGGGCCACTAGATGTTGCTCCTCGATCAACTTGCGGACCTCTTCGCTAGCTCCACGCCTGCGGGCCTCACGATTCCTATACTGGCCGATTGAAGGGCTCGGAGGTTACGTCCAGACCAGAGATTTTGGAACAGCTTAATGCTTAATCCGTCGTTTAGATCAGCGTGCAACGAACTGGTAGTGCTCTTGCAGGTAACTCTTGTAACAGGATGCGCCACCATCTCGTGAGGGCCTGGACCGTTGCATAATAGGAGCCCGCCTGTCCTCGTTTCGACGGTTGTGGTGGATAGTACAAAATGCCAAGCGTTGCATCTATCGCTCCTCTCTTCATTCTCGCCGCCACCGCCATGCCCCCGCAGTTTGGATGAGCCCCCCACACCTGGGTAACAACCTGGTCGCGATACTCTGGTCCTAGTATTACCGAACATCCAGTCGACTTATTTGTGTATGCTCCTGGGGTGTACACCGACTCGATTATCAGCCTACCATCGACACGACGACCAAGTACTCCTTCACCCCCTCCTGCAGCTCGCAAGCAAGAGGAATTCGGAGGCGCGGGGGGCGGCGAGCAGCTTGTGGAGCCGCTCGCCTGTCGTGTGCAGGGGGTTGAAGGCGAGGAGCCGCAGGGCTGACCTCGCCGCGGCGCCCGCGCTAGCGCCGTTGGCCGGCATGGCGAGGGGTTCTTTGGCCCCTCGGCACACTGTGGGAAGTGTTGTGAACCCCTGGTCTTGGCGGTCTCTTAGCCGCCCAGGGACTGGAGGGGGAGGAGGGGGAGGATGAGCAGGAGGGGGCAGGAGGAGGAGGAGGAGGAGGAGGAGGAGGAGGAGGAGGAGGAGGAGGAGGAGGAGGAGGAGGAGAAGGACGACAAATAATGAGAAAAAGAAGAATGAGAAGGAGGAAACGAAGAAGAAAGAGGAGGAGGAGGAGAGAGAAGGAGGAGGAGGAAGAGGAGGAGGAGGAGGAGGACGAGGAGGAGGGGAGGAGGGAGGAGGAGGAGGAGGAGGAGGAGGAGGAGGAGGAGGAGACGAAGGAGGAGGAGGAGGAGGAGGAGGGGGAGGAGGGAGGAGGAGGAGGAGGAGGAGGAGGAGGAGGAGGAGTGGCCTTTCGTCTTCATCTTTGAGGCTGCTGCAGCTCCGCAAGAAGACTGCTCGCGCGGCGCGAAGGCGAGAGCCCGGTGTTGAAGAGAGGCCGCCCTCCAGCCCCTGAAGCTGCTGCAAACTTTGAAGACGATTGCGCTCCAGGCAGACACTCGGGCGATCGCAAACATGGATCAAGGGGGCCCTCGGGGGGGACCTCGGGGGGGGCCCTCTGGGGGGACCTCGGGGGGCCCTCTGGGGGGACCTCGGGGGGGCCCTCCTGTATCAGGCGATCGCAAGCATGGATCAAGGGGGCATGGATTAGCGACGGGTCCCGTTCCCATGGGAAGTCGCGTGTCTCCGCCGCCGAGCGATGCGGCACCGGCCGTATTTTGGGGAGGGCGCCTCCCCCGATCCATGGATTTAGCGACCGCGCGCCAAATCCATGGATCGCTAGTCCATGTTTGCGCGCCCCCGATTGAGGCAGACACAGACACAGACACAGACACAGACACAGACACAGACACAGACACAGACACAGACACAGACACAGGTACAGGTACAGACACAGACACGGACACCGACCTTTGAAGGCGGGAGCCCCATTTTGGAAACGGTCCGCCCGCTATCTTTGATGCGCACGGCCAGCTTCAGGGTTGCAGGTGGTGTAGAGGGAGTCGCTCCTAAGGAAAAAGGATTGGTCGCAGGCCTACAGGTCGACACCAACACCAACAACGGCGGTGTGCCTCCGCCGAGGGAAGAGGATCCCAGTCTCGGCGATGGTGGCAATATT